CCCCAAAACCCCAAAACCCCAAAACCCCAAAACCCCAAAACCCCAAAACCCCAAAGAAGTCCTAGGAGTTGAATAATTATTACTTTTGTTTCAACTTTAATAAAAATAAAATGGACAAGGACCTAGATGACACCACTACAATAAAAACTAAGACCAGTAAATCCAAAAAAGACAAGAAGGACAAAAAGGACAAGAAAGACAAGAAGGATAAGAAGGAAAAGAAGGATAAGAAGGAAAAGAAAGATAAAAAGGACAAAAAATCTAAACGGGATAAAAGTGAAAAGTCCGTCACTAACATAGCTGAATCTCCTGAGAAGAAGACTAAAGAGAAGCCTCCTAAGAAGAGTAATACTAAAGGTAAGCTTACTTGGAAGGGAATTTGGGGGAGGGGAGAAGAACATGCTTTGTTAGATAGAACATTTCGAGAAATTAAAATGTTCTGCACATTTTATTTGGCCCAGAGATGTGGGTTTTGATAAGTCGTGATCTCCTCTTAGCGGGATTCTGTACTCTTAAGGAGGGAAAGATACGAATTTGGGTGGATTAGTGTATTAATAGAATAAAAAATTTGATTTTTTGTATAAGAATTCTGTCGCCGACCATCCATAATTTTCAATCATTATTAACCCCTTGTGTAAACTCTATTGACGACCTCTCTAACGCATTGGATATTTAGAAGTAAAAATAATTGATCCAAAAGACAAAAATTACTTCGAAGGTTTAAATGAAGTAAAAGAATACCAAAAGTCTCTTTCTCCTCGAAGAAAACGGTTGCCTGCTCATTGTTCTAAAGGTGCCAAAGAATGTGTGCAGTGCTACTTTGCCAGCAATGATATTCAGATCCACCCTGAAGTTCTTGGTAAGCACCTTGTATAACTGCAGACATCTCAAATAAAATTAAGATTGAAGTTGAAGAAAAGGTTTCAAAGAAGATCAATAACGAAATCCAGATTCCAGCAGAAACTACTGATATTGACTCTGTCATTGCCAGAGAGAATGAAATCGAGATTAAGAAGATGGAAAAAGCTCTCGAGGCCGATCCTGACTATCAGGAGTATAAGCAGTTTATTGAAGAAAATCCTGATAGAAAGATGGAGCTACTAGCTTGTAGGCTCCAAGGAAAGAAACCTAACGCCGATCTTAGTAAAGTATTAAATAACTCAGCTATGAAACCATTCAAATAAAGTCCAGATGTACTCTCCTGAAGAAATAGAAGGATCGCTTAATAACACCTTTACCGGAAAGAATGGCACTCTCCAAGGAACTAGAGCTTTTTCAGATTTTAGATCTCCTACCACTAAAACATCTTTATTCTCAGTCTCTACTCGACACAATCGGTATAAGGTAAGTTACTGCTATAACTCTCTGTAGGATACTAAGCTTTCAGTACCGAGCCACCTTGAGCCGCCTCCTAAGGACTATCAGAAGAACATCAAAGTCATTAAGAAGCTCCAAAGTGAGAAAAAGAAGCGAGAGCAGGTCATCAAATACGTTCAGGAAAAACAAATGAAGAAGAGTCAAATTGAAGTCCAGAAGAAAGAGAAGGAACAGGAGCTTCTCAAACTAGAGCATGAGAAAGAAGTCCAACAGTGGAAAGACAAGTAAGCTCACATCACCAAGACATCTAGGCTTAAGCAAAGAGTTAATGAACGGAAGGAGCTCAGGAAAAAGAACTTGATCGAGAGCGAGCAGAAGATCAAAGAGCTTAAGAAACAAACCCCTCTGTTTAAGTCACTTGAAAGAAAGTACTTCACTGATTTTGAGATACCTGAACTCCAGCATCGTAAGAAGGCTCTTGAAGAAATGAGAAATATGCCAAACCATTCCAAAGTGGACATCGAGAACATCAAGAAGCACTCTCTTTATTACGAGAAGCTCAGGAAGAAGAAGCTAGAAGAACGCATCCAATCCAGGATGGAAATCATCAAGTCTCAAACAGATATTTCCAAGAAGTTACAGACAAATACATACCAACGCATGAAGCTTAGGGATGAAATGGAAATCAGTGTGGCTGAAGAGAAGAAAATGGAGAGGTTAAAACTCATCCAGAGTACTAAGAACTATGCTAAGAATGTGAATGATATTTACAAACCTTCTATTTCCACTAGAAAGCAGAGTGAGATGAAGAGACTTATCGAGGAAATCGATAAACCTGCTAAAGACAAGATTAATAAGATAAAGTACGAAAGGAGCGCCAACTCTATCTTAAATAGGCCGAATATCTTAAAAACTATTGACTCAGGAAGCAGCAGAGTTCGGGGAGGAAATGATACTATCCAGATGTCTGATCTGTCTAGGCTTAACGATAGTAACACTGGCAGTCCAAAGGATGGCAATAGACGTAGAGTAAAAGATTCTATAGAAAATAGTTATTACGATGATGATCTTGAGATAGTTCCAGAACGCTCCCCTAACTCAAAAATGTACTCTAAAACTCCTAAGAGACTTCAGCAAAGAAGTAGGTCTAGTCTGAGGAATACTGAGAGGAAGCGACTGAAGAATCACTCTTTCAACCAGAACGATAGCTATGAACCAAAGCCCTTTATAAAATATGATTATCTTGCTGAAGTAAGGAATAAGAAGCAAGAGAAAGGTGCATATAACTATAAAGCTAATAATTTCTGGAAATCCGACATCCACGATCTATCCAAATCAACTGTTGACAAATACCACAACATCAAGTATAAAACAAGTGATCTAGAGTGGAAGGCCAAGATGAAGGAGGACAAATTTGTAATGTCTCAGCCAGACGGCAAGTACAAGGACGATGTGAGCTCCATGTACATTGACGCTATTAAAGCCAAAGCAGCCTTCTTGTCAAGCCTTTAGTATTAAAAATATTCAAAAACGAATAATAAAAAGGGGTTTTGGGGTTTTGGGGTTTTGGGGTTTTGGGG